CGGACATATACGCTAAAAAAACTATATATTCATACGAAATACACCCAGACACAGATGTACCGAAACGTACCAGAACCAGTTCTTTAACAGATAAAATTATACCATACGTTGAAATCACTAGTGCGGACTCAAACGATGGTATATTCGTTAACGATATCGATACTTCACTGCTGAGCCCTACGCAGTGTCTATATCCTTATACACCAGAAAGTGTAGACTCTCATACACCGAATGCTGAAAATTCGGGTTCCGATGATTTGGCGAATATCGATGTTTTAGAGAAATCGACTACTAAACTTAGTAGAGATCGTAGTGTTTCCCCTACGCAATTGAAGAGTAGATTGGATATGTTATTAAATGTACCGCCGTTAGAAAGATTGGATAGTAGGGAGTCTTGTAAATCTGATGCTAGTAAGAAAGGGGGCTTGTGTTGTTTGGCGTTGAAATGTTACGGATTCTGTAGGCGACGGGCGCGCAAAGTCGATTGCAGTTGTGGCTTAAGTAAATGTTGCACTTAATATCGATATGTTGATGTCACATCACTATTTCGTTCCTCCACAGTTTATTTTTTTTCTAATGTCAAATACATTGACAGTAGTATGATAGAATTGATGACTTATCTGATAGATAACAATATATTATGACTTTTTAATTTTGGAGAAACGATAATGCATTTTTTTAAGACTTAATTGTATGAAACGAACAAATGGTAGAAATTTACCATAAAATATCTAAGTTCTCTTAATTCAAATGAAGTAGAAAGCAACTTAAGTGGAATTAACAGAACTTGTTGACGATAAGTTCCAATAAGTTAGTATTAAGCATGAGTGTCGTATTACTTAAAAGCATGCATTTAAACTAATGGAAACTTAATCTATTTGTAAATATTTTTAAGCAGTCATATTTAAATATGACAATAACTAGTCCGCAGTTAACTGCAAATGATGCAATATGGTCATAGTGAAGGGAAATAAATCATAGACAATAAGTTTTATGTAAGAAATAAATAATGGTGCTTAAGAAATATTATGCCAAATAATTTTTATATTAATTCTAGTCTTAGTTCTGCTCAAATGTTCCAATATTTTTTTGGGTATTTTGACGTTACAATAAAAATGTTACTTATTTACGAACAAATATGTAGTTGACAATAGTGAAGTGTCTAAAATGAAAAAAAAATAGGGATTGATAACAATTATCGACGAATGTCGATATCGACACATATATCGATGACTTTTAATTGATTTCTGGAAATCTGGTGGATTTTTTTAGTATACACAATATTACAAAACGATGATAATTTTCTTATTATTAAGATTTTATAATGATATTATTTAATATCCATATTTTGAACTCTATAATGAACATCCCTACTAGATTATTAACGAAATAAAATCGATAAAAATGATTTTACTTAAAACACACTTCACTGTAAATTAAACCAAAATATTAATGTTACATTTGACAAAATAATTCATATACGCTATTATCAAAATAAATGTAATTTTTAAGTCACATAGTTTCTGATATAGACTTCATTAAAATATGTACAAATTTACACTCAAATTATTTAAAAACGCAAATGATTTAAGTTGATTTTGTGAAAAAGTATTCGTTACTTAGATTAAAACTTAAGTATGCAAGTTTAGTTTAATTAGATGTGCTTAGTTGTTTTGTTTTAAGACTGTTTATCGTGCAGTTCCACTGTTGGAAAACTACAAAATGTCGAAAATAAATATAAAATTACAAAATATTTTGCATGCATTTCTTTACCATTCCAAATTTACTTGAGACTTGTGATGTTGATATTTGGTAGTCTTTCTACAGTGGAAACCTAGCTTTAGCGCATTGTACCTTATACATGTGGATTTTGGATATTCTGTTACTGATTCAAAAATACGGTCAGCAAATATGACACTAAAATTGTACAAAAAAAAAATAATTACAAAAAAAAAAATTTTTCGTATATTTAAATCTTGTTATATTCTTAATCTTTTATTTCTTCTATGTGTTATATTGCAAGTAACCTTTGTTTGTTTTTTTCCTTTTTCCAATTTTTTTTTTTACAAAAGTACCAAAAAACTCCAAAGTCCATGTTATTGTTACGTAAACGCACATAAATTGTGTTTTGTATTAAAAATACGCAATTGTATGGTGCTACCGACATCCAAAATAAATATTATATACTTAATTTTTTTTATTTTGCCGCTTTGCCTAGCTTGTTTTTTTTGTTGCCAGTAAAAATGTTTTTATTACCCGAATCCCTTTAAAAATATTAAATGAAGTAGCCATATTTGCCTTTTAACTGCTTGTCTTGATTTTAGAAATGTTTTTTAAAAAAAATCCAAAATCACTAAAGAGTTTGTTATTTTTTTTAATTCTAACAACGCCCGAATTTTCTACCTTTACTACTCAGTAGTGTTTGTTTTTTATTTTTTTTAATGTGTATTACAGCTAGTTCCATTATGTCGAAACTTGCCGCTTTGCTTGTGAGTATGTTTTTCTTTGTCTGTTTTATAACCGTAGAGCTCCATTGTAGACATTTATATTAATACACATTGTCAAAAAAAAACTATTTTTTATTAACAATTATTCTTATAGACAGAACAATGTTTATTAATAAAAATGTCTGCAGTCGAAACTTATAGATTTTTTTTAGCTTCGTTTAAAAAAATCAACTGTGAGTTTGAGTTATTTATCTATGAGTTAAAAGGTTCGTTTAGACAGACGGGGCGGAGAGATGATCGTTTTATTATTAAAAAAAACTTTAAAGTATTTAAAACCTATTTACGCTCCGGTCTGTGAACGAAACCATATTGTGTCTATGTGAGATTTTTTTGTCTATGTAATTCATAACTTTAATACTCTGCAGGTAATTTCCGTCAAGAGCTACATTCAGAAAATTCGCCAAAGCACGTGAAGACTGAAGATCAGGTATCAGACGCGGTAGATTCACCAAACACAAGATATATCCATTTTAATATGGATGGCCCGTGCAATATTTTCAAGGAAACTGATATTTGAATATTTTGAGAGTCAGTCCCACAAAAATATTGTAAATTGTCAAATAACAATCTTATTATCATTCAGTGGTGGGACAGGCCCGTAGTATTGCTAGTAGCAGTTACTTATAATTAAAGTTCCGGTTTTATATAAAAATAACCGTAACAAATTATTATCGGTACAACACTATAGCTCTAAATGACAGCTGTCAGTTTGACAGTTACTAAAAGATCATCTGCTAACTATATTCAAATAAAATAAGCAATAAACACTAGTAATCGAAAAATGCAATAAGCTTGAAATATTGCTGGATCTAGTTATTAGAAGAGGATAGCATAAATAATGCTTTCCCTTTCTGACAGTCGTCTCTAAGGTTGGTTATTCAATAGTATTCTCAGATGCCATCCAAAATATGTATTCAAAAACTATTTACACCGTTTTATATAGGAAAGTAGTATACTGTTTCATGTTCTGTAGTCTGTACTTAGTTACATAAAGTAATAATGAGGTATATATCAGAAAAAATATTTCGATTTCTGTTCAGAAACAGAAATAATTTTTTTAATTCCTATATAAGCGATATTTTATCTTTGAAATATGGCAGAGATAAGATAATTTCATAGTATATATATGTAGTTTATTTGATAATTTTTAAATTTAATTGTTCAAATTATATATGGCTATTGCTAAAATATAATTAAAAATAAATAGCATATCATATCGATACATTTGTCTATAGTTTTAACTAGGCATATATCATAAAATTTATCACAGGGCCGGCGTTAGTGTAGGGCGAGGTTAGACGACGCCCGGGGCGTTAAACCGAAATGGCCGCTCTAGACACTTCGCCTAGTGCTAGTAGCTAATAGCGCTACTGAAGATATTCCTGTCTACTTTTAAATAATAAATAAATCGATTTTTAATATAATAATAGTAATATGCAATAATGCCATCTCTTTAAATAAAGAGAAATATTGTAGAAAACTTTCATTTAAACCGAGGTGCGTTAAAAATACCACTTTTTTTTTATACACATAAGGTGGCAAACGAGCAAGCGGCCGCCTAAATCCACCGAAATGGAGAGCGACCGCTGCCCATAAACATCCGCAATTACAGATGCGTTGCCTACGCTTAATTGACGGAGGAGGAGACGCACATAAACAGATTTCCCCTTCCTATGGTTCTCCTCCACCGTCAAATCCACTTTTCCTTCCCATCCTTTCTTCTTAAGAAAAGGGAGGGAAGAGAAAGGGACTCATCAGACGAAACGCGGAATTGCTTCCACTTCACGTCTGTTTTCTGTGTGGTCATGGTATTACACCGGGCAAGACGGCCCATTCGTGCGAAGATGTTAAAGCGGGCTCTACCACTGTTAAATCATATTTTTCTATATCCTATGAAACAAACAATATTTTAACACACCGTGAAATCGCCTAGATGTTTAAGTTATAATCCGCCCAGTAAACGCCTAGTCAAAAAATGCAATATAAAAAATTAGAACACAAAATATATATTAATAATGTTCTAGAAATAAACAAAAAAAATGTGCTAAGTTAAGAATTTCTTAATAATCCCAAATACTCAGGGAATTGTATAAATTATTGTCAAAATTAAATAAATACCAGGTTAAAATACTCATTATTTTAATAAGAAATAATTGAAATATCGCTGTATTGATTGTTGCATATAAATTGAATGAATTAGTAATAAGATTTTTATTATTAAATTAAGATTATAAATTGCGCTAGATGAAGAGAACTAGAATTATTAAAATGTATTTAAATACATTATAAAATGCTCATCTTGCCAAACATCCCCGATAAAAAGAAATTAAATTTAATGATTTCATTAAAATGTAATATGCAACTATTAATAATTGTAATAGTTTTCATTCCATTAAAATAATTAATGGGTTTCTTTAATTATTAGATAAGTTATTTACAGTTTTTTTAATTGGTTAAAAAGCAATACAAGTCGTCAGTGTTCTTTATTGTTACTTAGACTAAATTACATTTATTACATTATTAATAATTATTAAACGGGTAAAACTTCTTAAGAAAGTTAAGAGTTTACTGAGTCGAATGTGTTCTTTTTGGTTCGAATATTTACATTTTACGAATAATCATAGATATACTTCTTACTAATATTATAAATGCGAAAGTTTAGATGGATGGATGTTTGTTAGAGTTTGTACCCACATCGGCTGTACGGATTTTGATGAAATTTGGTGTAGATGTAGAGTATAGTCTGGAAGAACATATAGGCTACTCACTTGTTTTTTAATTCCACGCGGACGGAGCTGCGGGAGAAAGCTAGTATAAGATCAATGTTTTAATAGTATATTTTATGATTCATTACTAAATATATTAAATAAAAAATATAGTGCATTAACATATTATGTATATAGGATTTTTAAAGACAATCGATATGCAATTGGTGGACATTCAAATTATAACTATTTGTAAATGTATTGTCCATTAAAATTTTTTTAACATTGCCAAATATATTATTGGTGTTTTTTAATGTTATATATTATATACATATAATATAAAATTTTGTATGTTTTATAATGACTTCTCTTTACTTAAAAATTGTTAATTCAAATTTCTATGAATTCCTATATCTTATTATCTTTAGTAATTATTAAATTTTAATGATATATTTAGTAATTAAATTGCACTATATTATGAAATATATTATTTTGTAAACAAAAACTTTTTTTGTCTATAACAAACAGATATTTATATATTTAATATATCATTGTATTTTTAACTTAATATTATATTCAAATATAATTTGTTGATTCATTGAATATTATCAATACATTAGTCATACTTTTTATGACAGATATCTTAGTCTATATCTTGGCATTTTAATATTTTTTTAAGATGTAATGTAGCAGAAATAGCAATGATGCAATTATTATTGTTATTTGTATATTTTATATTGATTTGTAATTTAATGGTTTGGTATATAGTTTAGTAAAATTTAAAAATTCTCATATTTTTAAAAGTTTATTATTCTATTAAAATCTTTTTTTTAAGTTTTGCGATTATTAAATTATTTCTCTGTAGTTATTATTAAAATTATGTTACAGATTAAAAATGTTTTCTTAATTATTTCTAGACTTGTATACTTTTAAGGTATTTATTAAACTCTTGTTGAATTTTATCTAAATCTAGATCTCGCTTAAGCTATTTTAACTATCAATGTGTCCGTCTGTCTAGTCATTTTATGTATTATTGTGATCGATGTGAATAAAATTGAAAATGTTTATAATTGGTTTTATTTTAGAATTATACGCAACCTTAGCTCGCAACTTCAACCGCGTGGAAATTAAAAAAATGGTAAGAAGTCTATGCGTTCAACGAACATCCATCCAAACTTTCGCATTTATAATCCTGCTATACTTCCTAACAATGCAATGCGGAAGTTTGGATGGATGGACGTTTGTTAGAGTTTGTAACCTAAACTACTGAACGGATCTCGTTGAATGATTCACATTTTCACAGACGGAATATTTTTTTAAAAATCCTCAGATATTGGGACACTTCTGTACACGAGCGATCTTCTAGCTATTTTTGTAATATATGCATTTAAAACTAGCTTTCACCCGCGACTCTGTTCGCGTGGAATAAAAAAAATAAAGTTAATAAAAAAATAGCATTTGTGTTCTTCCAGACTATCCCCTACATTATACCAAATTTTATCGAAATCCGTTCAACAGTTTAGGCTACAAACAATCACCCATCTAAACTTTCGCATTTATAATATTAAAATATGATCGATACACGAGCTAGGAAGATAATTAACGAAAAACAGGAAAACGTGTCATCAAAACTACGTAGGTATTTCCCCGGCCCATGCGTTACAAACTGGTTGTATGACATTTTATCTCCTGTTACTCATAGCCACTACAAAACAAGTATCTACAAATTAATATTAAAATTCTTT